GGCTTGGCTTTAATTAACCAGGTCAACATCCACACAGACACTTTAAATGAATCCGGATGTGTGGAACACACTATAGCTGCATTTAAGGGTAGAACAATACACACATACCACAGGTATGAATTAGTGCATATTTCAATTTTCAACCATTAAAAACCGTTGTCTAGTGATTTTTTCCAGAAACATAAATCTGCTTACCTTTGGCTCTGTTTCGTAAGCTTTTTATGAACAAATGAAGAAAACAATTTGTTGCTCGACTGAAAATACTTTAAGAGGTACAATAAGCTATTAATATAAATGTAGCTTCGTGCTTCAACTGCCATTTGATGGATGATGGTTTAAAGTTATGTTTTGCTAATGCAACTAGAATGATGCAATTTTTGTAGGGTTGCAAATGAACCGAGCCGAGCCGAGCTTCAGTCTGTTCGAGTTCAAGCTCGTTTGTCAAAACCATGTTCAAGCTCGGCTCGAAGCTCATCGAGATTTTTGGATAGGTGTTCGAGCTCGGGCTCATTTAAAATGACCACGTTTGAGCTCGACTCGTGTTCAAATTTGAGCTTATTTAATCTCATGCTTCGTGAGCCTCTTATCGAGCGACTCGTTTATAACGAGACAACGATAATTTACAATTTTTTTTTAATTAAAAACAAACCAAGCAACACACCGTCCCGACAAGGAAAACCCGCCCAACCCGCCAGCTTCTCGCAATTCTGCAATTTGCGTTTAGATGTCTTTGTTTTTATATAGCAAAAGTATTTCATTCCAGCCGGTGTGGGACTAAACGCTCACATCATTTTTTTTAGTTTGTTGATGCCACAGAGGAGAAAGAGCGGGCGAGTCCAACGGGAATTTAAAAACAATTTTTTTTTGTTCTCAGCGGGAATTGGGACTTGAGGCGGGAGTTTAATAAAATTTTTATATTTAATAAAATTTTAATAGGTGATTTAAATAAAAATATTTCTAATTAGTTAGATTAGTAAAAATATATATTAAAAATATGTCTAATGAAAATGGTTAAAGTTTAAAAAATTAAATGAGTAAATATAAATTATTAAATGAGTATATTTAATAGTATTTATTTTTAAAATTCTAATTGAGATCTAATTGAGCTTCTTAGTCGAGCTCTAATCGAGCTTGTTCACGAGCTTCTAAGCGAGACTGTTCATGAACATAAATGAACTGAACAATACGCTGTTCAAGCTCGTTCATTTAGCTATCGAGTATTTATCAAGAGTGTTCAAACTCGTTTGTTTATCTTATCAAATGAATATGAACGAGCCCTTATCGAGCCGAACCACGAGTTGCTCGTCGAACGCTCGGTTCATTTGCAACCCTAAATTTTTGTATATTATATAAAAGATTTTAGGATTTCTAGATATAAGACCACTAAATAAGTAAAATTTTAAATTGCATGGAGCTATAACTTTTGGTGAGTGAGTGTTCCAAAAAATAAAAAGAATATTAAAAATAAAACATTACCTTGGTGTAAACAAAATTTTATGTAACATATTTTATTTTTTGTGTTAATTCTTTACGGCAAAACTAGGGAATCCTTGCAAATGTTGAAACAATTTGCATTTTTAAGAATTTGAGGCTTGTTAGTTTTAGATATTATTTTTTACGCATTAAAAATTGCATGCGTAAGAAATATAAGTGTATAAAATTTGATGCTTTTTAAGATAAAAAGAATTTTGTAAAAAATGCCTAATCTGCTTAAGGAAAGAATAGAGCATAAGAGATAATATCTTAAGATTGCTATTCCTTAAAAGCCACAAATGCATGCAGTTATGACAACATGCTGTCGCTAGTCATCATGCAGATGCAAAAAGTCATATGCATAGCTTCGTTTGCATGCACATTACTTGCACTAGCTTTATCCATCAGAGAAATTGATACAATATTGAATTTCCCTTTCTAAACAAAAGCATGGCATATGAATCGTAATAAATATAACAGTATGTTGTATGAGATCATAATCATAACAGTGGCTGAGCATATGGAATTGTATTTATAAAAAGAATATAACATATAGAATCATTAGCGTCTACTGTAGATCAAATTACATTTTACATAGATAGTAATATCGTGACCTAGGAACCGTAAATATAAACTTTAAACTACAAAATGATCATGTCATTTATAGAATCCTAAAGAAATGTAACATTGCATGTATGATTCATAACAATATGAAGAATATTAAAGAATTCAAGTGGAATTATAGCATATTGCATGAAGAAAATTTTATCAGAAAAACCTTTATGAACTAGCGGAATACATAGGTAATAGGTCTAGACTAAGGAAACATTACTCCGGAAGAGAATTTTAATTTTGCACCTTAGCGACATCAAGTGGTTGGCTCATTCACTCCATGTCAACTTATCATTGTTCCATTTCTGAAAAAATAGGCATAATCTCATGTATAAGACTTCCACAAATAAATCACTTAGATTATTAACATACAGCCTATTGTTCCCTCTTTTCTAATCAACCCAACAACCATTTTAAGATCTCTAAATAGTGGTTTACATCTTTAAAAGTCATACATATATGCGCGCGCGCACATACAGAAACACACATACACATACATACATACATATATATATATATATATATATATACTTTTTTTTTTTTGTTTTATACGGCGGCAGGTCAACAATATATATATATAACTTGAAAAGATTTTATTAAGGATGCACCTTCTAAGTTTTCCTTCTTGTTTGCGCACTCAGTTTAATGATTTTTCTTAAATGGCCTGCTTTAAGTTGCATTGATTGACCTCCTAGCTCAGTCTTATTTGCGAATTTATGTTACTTTTATATTTTATGCTTAACAGATTTATTTGCTATAAAATAGTAAATACACAACAGCAACAACAACCCTTTATCCCACTATGTGGGGTTGGCTACATGAATCCTTTTTCTCCATTGTGTCATGTTAAGAGTCAAATTCTTGTCTAAATCTAATAAAAAAATATCATTTCTAATATTTTCTAACCCAGTCTTTTTATGTTTACCTCTTTCTTTCTTAACATAAGTCAAATCTTATACATCTACTTTCCTAAACGAGTTATCAGAAGCCCATCGTTTTATGTGACTAAATCATCTAAGGAGACTCTAATCTTATCTTCCACTGGAGCCACTCGAACCTTTTCACGTATATGCTCATTTCGAATTCTACCTTTAAGAGTAAAGCCACTCATCCACTTAAGCATCCTCATCTCTGCAACACTTAACTTAATAGTATGCTTCTCTTTTAATGGCCAACAGTTTGCAACATAAAGCATTGCAGGTCTCACTACCATCTTATATAATTTCCCCCTAAGTTTGAGAGGGACTTTTCTATCGCACAGCAAGCCCGATGCATTCCTCCCCTTCAACCATCCAACTTGAATTTTACTATTAATATCCTCATCGATTTCACCATCACTCTTGATAATAAACCCAAGATATCTAAAACATGTGCTCTTATTAATGATTTATTTTCCCGAAGTCACAATCTTCCCACTTGATATATTATTATTAAAATTACACTCTATATATTAAATTTTAGATCTACTCAAACAAAAGCCTTTAGACTCCGTGGTTGACCTCCATAATTCAAGTTTACCTTTAACTCCCTCTCTAGTCTTATTAACAAGAAGAATATTATCAGCAAAAAGCATAAACCATGGTACAAACTCTTGCAAATGTCTAATGAGAACATCCATGACTAAAGAAAAAAGATACGGGCTTAGGGATGATCCTTGATGTAGTCCAACTGAATTTGAAAAATACTTGGTCAAACCACCTTGTGTTTGAACACAAGTACGTCAACTATATACATATGTTTAATGACTTGAATATAAGCATTATTAACCCCTTTCTTATGTAGAACTCTCCATAGCAGTTCTCTTGGAACTTTATCATATGCTTTCTTTAAATCAATAAAAATCATATGTAGATCCTCCTTATTCTCTCTATACTTCTCCATCAAACCTCTTAATAAATGTATAACTTCAATAGTAGATCTAACTAGCATGAATCTAAATTTATTTTGAGAAACATTAGTGTCATATTGCAATCTATGCTCCATAACCCTCTCCCATAGCTTTAAAGTATGACACATTAACTTAATTCCTTTATAATTCGCACAATTTTGTGCATCACCTTTATTCTAAAAAATAGGAATAACACACTTATTTTTCACTCATCTGGCATCCTTTTATTCTTCAAATTAATATTAAAAAGTTTAGTAAGCCAAGAAATTCCCTCATCTCCTAAGCATTTCCACACCTCTATTGGAATATCATCAGGTGCAACAGCTTTTCCACACTTCATTTTCTTTAAAGCCTCTTTAACTTTGATTTTATTAATATGCCGATAAAAACGAAAATCTTTATTTTCATTTAGCTGCTAAGGTCACTAAAGTCAATCACATGCTCATAATCTTCATTTAAAAGTTTAGCGAAATATCTCATCCACCTTTGTTGAATATCCTCTTCTAATAAAAGCACTTTTTGATCTTCATTATTTTTACACTTCATTTGAACTAAATCCTTAACTACAAATTTTTTAATTTTTTAATTTTTCTTTGATTCTACCACAAACTAGTTTAACTATTTGTACCTTTTCTTTTAATACTTAAAATACATCTTTTGTAACATTCTTAATATCACTAGCTACTTTTTTCCCACATAATACTGATCCTATGCATGCACAGTAAAAATCTTAAGATCTAGAATCTTACTTTCTAAAATATTTTTATTGATATTCTTTAAATGCTCCAATCTAATCCTTAAACAACAATTTACTTTATTTTTTATGCTCTGTCCTTTCAACTTAAAGTTCAAAACTAATAAATGATGTTGGGTGCATAAAAATTCACTTGGAATAACTTTACAATTTTTGTAATTTAAACGATTTATTTTTTATATAAGAAAATAATAAATCTGAGTTTTATTATATCCATTCTTATAAGTGATGATTGTTTAAAGGCAGCAAATTATAGGATTCTAGAAGTCGAAATGGTACGGTTTTGATGATTGCACATGTAAGTTCTGCTTTGCTATGGAATATAAATTAAGTGCAAGAAGAAGCAGGTTACGGAACATGTTCGATCATTATGTTAGCTAAGGAATATTTCATTATTTATCCAATAAAGAGAAGACTGGTAGGTTTGAAGATGGACATTGAATATGCAGTTATGAAGATGGGAAAAGGGATGGCAGACCATCAACAAAAATTTTTAGAACATCAAATTATTATCAGTCTTATCTCATGATTGCAGTGTCTAGTTGGTGTGCCATGTTTAATTTATGCATAATTTCTTATGTTTTTTTTTTGGTTTGATTATTATGTCTTTTTTCATTTGTTATTACTTTGATATTTTGCAATGTATCTTAGTCTGTCATTTGAAACAAAGCCTATTATTATAAATTGGGCTGACGGGTATGTACTTGAGGTCTTTTAATTCATATAGTAGATCATTTACTGAAAATTTGTTGTTGCTTTTCCTTCTTTTTTGTATAATGGTATCGGCAAATTATTGGGTCAGGTGACCGAACCCATCTCTGCGTTCGGTCACCAATAGAAAGACGACATTTGTCAGGCATTTTTTTAATTTAATATCTTTGCTTTATGTCTTGTCAGCCTTAGCGACCCGACCCGATAACCTTTATTGAACTTTTAAGCATTTGCCGCCTTTTTTTTGCAATTTGAAACCCGCGAAACACGTAAATAGCTACTCCTGTAGAAGAAAAAACGAGCCAGAAAATTGCAGAGAAGAAATGGACTGCTCAGCGAAGAGGGAGGTGGAAGAGGGCATGGAAGAGGGAGTGCATGAATCGGAAAGGATGCATGAATCGGAAGGGCTGGTTCATGAATCGGAATCAGAACCTAACTTAGCTGGAAATTCCTCTGGTTTCGACATATCGGTAAGTTTCTTGGATAAACGAGTTAGAAAGTTGTAAAGAGTCAGTTTTAATCTCATCGCCGCAGAAAAAGGGCGTAGGTTTCAGCTCATTAGAGTTCTAGGATCTTAGATTTTGCGATTTTTAGGCAGAATAAATTTTTTTTGTCCGAAAAGTAAAAAAAACTCTAATGTTGTTGCTTAGCTTTCATTATTGTTTTTAGGATGAAGATGATAAAAAAAAAACAGAACTTGTTTGATATTTACTTGCGCTTTACGTGCGCTTAACTTGCGCTTTACTTGTGTTTTAACATTTCAGGCTATTTATAAAGATGAGACAGAAGCATATGAATGTTTTTGCACTTATGCTCACGATAATGGCTTTAGCGTCCGAAAGGATCATCACAGTTTTTGGCCAAATTCTAGGAAGATAAAATCGAAGGACTTTGTTTGTTCAAAAGCTGGTTTCAAGAAAAGTTATGATCTTAATTCAAGAAAGAGATTCACTAGACCAGATGTCAGAACTGGTTGCCCAGCTATGGTGAGGTTTGTCACAGATGAAGATGGTTACTGGCATGTCAAAAGATTTTTTGAATCCTACAACCATAAATTATCTAGCCCAGCCGACCGACACCTTTTGAGATCATGTAGGAATGTTGTTGAGGAAAAAGCTTCCGTCCTAAAATCGATGATAGATGCAGGGATTAGAACCGTTGATGCATATGCCTACCTTGCAGAGAAAGTTGGTGAATGTGAGAATATCGGATTCTCTAAGAGGGATGCCTACAATTTTACTCAGAAGGAGAAAAGAGCAAGGATTGAAATTGATGACACTAATTCTTTGATTCAATTATTTAAAGATCGACTAGTTGAGGACCACATGTTCACATGGGATGTTCAATATGATGATTAGGATAGATTGTTAAATTTTTTCTATGTTGATGGCAGAAGCAGGATAGATTATGAATGTTTTGGAGATGTGTTGATTTTTTATACCAGTTACAGGCTGAACAAGTCTAATTTTGTTTGTGCGCCATTTGTTGGTGTTAACAATCATTGGCAGAATATTTTGTTTGGGATTGCTTTTTTGTCAGAAGAAACAATTGAAAGTTTTACATAGTTGTTTAAAATTTTTGTACGAATAATGAGTAATAAATATCCAACAATAATATTCACTGATCAGGACCAAGCTATGGCCAAAGCCATAGAAGTTGCATTACCTCACACTCGTCATAGATTATGCCAATGACACATATTTAAAAAGGTTCCATCAAAAGTTTCCATCTACAATAGCAATAATAAAGTTAGAGGACTCTTCCATAAGTGTATGAGGTGGTGTGATTCTGAGGAAGTGTTTGAGGAAGCATGGGATGAAATGATCAAGGAAGGGAATCTTCGTAACCATGAATGTTTGCAGGATCTTTATAAGATAAAGAGAAAGTGGTCAACTGCTTTCAACAAGGATTGCATATCAAATGAGCACAGAAGCTCAAGATATAAATACCTCTAAAACTAAAAAAAATTCAAATATCGTTTTGGGCACTCACACAGCACAAGAAAATCACTCTATACATGCTTTTCTCTAGCGTGGTGGGAGGGAACCCGGTGCGGCGCTTGCGGCGAGGTAGGTAGGCCGTGCAGACGCTTTTCTCTGGCGTGGCGAGACAAACTTAAGTAATCATGTATGTGCCGTCATGCGTTTGGGGAAAGAACTATATATTTTAAACAAATACATCAAAAGACCCATGTACGCCTTTCTCTAGTGTGGTAGGATTGAAGATGATGGCCATGGTGTCCCCCGACACCTACCATAAATTTTTTCTCTAGCGTGGTGGGAAGGCCCAACTCTCAAAATTTTTTCTAAACAGGAGAGACGTTGGAATACTGTCGAAATTTCAAATGATAGGGGGCTTGACTTAGATAATTAACAGGGAACAGAATTTGAATAGAATTACATGGAACTAGAATTTAAATTAATAAATGCACAATCAAATTGAAGTAATAATGCTAATTAAAGATCTTGATCATTAAAATGAATATAAATGAACAAACAAGGGCTCGTGGCATGTAAAGAATAGTAAAAACATACAACTAACACCCGCATATAATTTTGGACACGATCATAATGCTTACATAAACACAATAGTTCATTTTTGTGAGGAGGGAGATTTGTAATGAGCACACAACCTCTCTTATGGGCGATAACGGGAGGATAGAGGACTATAAATAATACAATTGCATTCTCAATCTACTTGCAAATAAATGCATTAAACTCCTACAAGCAAATAGGGTTGACGTGTTAATTCACCTGCAAGCTATAGTGATTGACGTGCGATGAATGCGACGGATTCCCTATGCCCTATGAGTATAAATAGGGGATGCGCAATGAATACAACAGCCTCTATGTAATTAAACATATCCATTTGCTCACAAACAATAAAACTCCTTACAAACACATACAATGCAAATTGTAATGAATACTACGTCCCTTCAATCGACATCTGTCACACCCCAGTTTGGCCACCCCTTACGGTCAATCTAGAGTATAATAGATAAGGAAATAAATCTATTTAGATTCTCCTAATATTTCAGCTTATTAAACTCCACACTTTTAGTAATAGGAAGCATGTAATGTACCTCAAGTAACATCAAATATAATCAAAGTAAATACAGAGCTCTACTATAACTTTTAAATTTTACTTACATACACAAAAGTCTGCACAGCTATCGTTCAGATCTCTTTTTAGATTTTTTGTACACCCAAAACATATGTACACAAAAAAAAGAACAGTCACCTTTTAAATGCCCTACGGGCTGCTTTCCCTTTTCTGTAGTACAACCACTGCTAATGAGCTATGACTCAATGAAATACACAAACAATGCATAAGAAATAATAATAATAATTTTTAAGCATTACGAATTTCAGAACATTAATGTTAACATAGATAAAATAGATTAAAATTTTATACTAATCGTAAGAAATATATGACATTACTTTCCATCTTAGTATCTCTTCTACATTTTGAACAAATCATATGATAACTATAAGCCTTTGTTCTCTTTCAGCTTTTCAATTCATGGTTACTCTCTCAATCGATAATTTTATTAGTGAAAGCACGAGGAAAGGAGATTCAGGAGGATGGTGGTGAATTGGAAAGTGTTTTCCATTGAGGGCTGGCACATGGAGCCCCCTAATGCCTCGAGCTTTTTTATGATGCTTGTGCCTAAGCTTGGTTGAGGTGTGCCTCACCTTACTAGCATGAGGCTTATGCTTCACCTGATTTATATATATATTTTTATTAAAATTTACATAAATCCTAAACTAAAGACGCGAACAACTCATGTCTTCGTGTACCCCAATGCAGAAGTTACTTCCTCTTAACTGCCTCGACCTCCAAACTACCGCCTTTGCCATAGTCACCATCGGGAATCACTTGAAAGCCGCACACCACCACAACTTCCTCAAAAAATTTTAGAGTATTATTCTCATCTTTATGTTGATGAAAAATATTATGAAAGAGATAGATGATTGAAATAAATAAAGAAGAAACAATTTAAAGGTATTGAACTCCATAGGATGAGGTCGGGAAGAGACAAATTTGTTATGTCAACGACTCAAATAAAGATTCCGTCAGTCATGACAATATAAATGATTTCTGTTCTTGTCAATTATGTCAGCTTTTTTTAACAATTAAATATGGATGAGTAGCGAGCTGAGAAAGAAGGAATTTGGAGTTGCAGTTTATGTTATAGGATTCTTTATGAAATTTCTATATTTCATGTTATTTTTCTCTTTTAATAGTTGGATTTCAATTCTATTTCAAACAATTTATTACTCACCTCTTTACATTATGTGCGATTTTTTATTTCATATGAATGTCAATTTGTTATTTTATAGTTCAATAGAAAATTAATATGTTGTTATTTAACATATTATTTGGGTTTATACAAAAATATTTTTAACCTTTATTTTCACATTACGCAATTTTCAGATTTGGAGGCTTACGCCTCAAATATTTTGAGGCTTACGCGTCAAATGCCTTGAGGCTTCGGCCTCGCCTCATGAAAGAAAAATCCCTCAATACCCAATTGTGCAATTTTAAACCTTCGCTTCGATCCTCTAACCCAATCGGATCTTAACCCATGACTTAGCTGGATCGAGGACCTTCTTCCGATTTTCCTCATAGACGGAAGTCATTGCTCGTCTAGTCAAACCTATTTCATTCGATCCAGTCGTCTTAGCCGCAAGCAAGATGAAACTCGCGCCAATCTTGCTCCCATTGACTCTTAGTGTCGATCTCGACCCTAGGCGATCGAACCTCTAAGCTTGCCGACCGCACATGAACTCCATATTCTCATCCTCACCCGTACCCAAGCAACTTACGACTTACAACCTAGCCTTTATTGATCATCGATAGCCCGATTCCTTCTCGACAGTTACTCTGAATCCAACCCTATCTAACCTCAATCGAACACAAACAGCCCCCAGACTTCCACTACTCTATCTCTATTCCACTCTTTCCCAACTCCACTTTACGTGCACACAGTGAGCTCTCAAACTCCTACAAACTCCCTCTCTCAAAACCACTTAACAACATCACTCTCACTGTAACAGAGAGTTTGAACTATTATTTTTCCTATCTTAATATTATTAATAGTATAAGTAATGTTATTTATAGTATTAGCAATTAGTATTATTATTATTAATAAAAAAGAAGAAAGAAAAAAGAAAAAAGAAAAAAAAGAAGAAGAAATTAAACAAAAAAAGAAGAGAAATGAATTCAAATAAAAAGAGAAAATCTGTGTTTTTTGATCGATCCCTCTGTTAACATCACATCGCCACAGTTAACTCTTACACTAAGATATAAATACCTCTAAAACTAAAAAAAAAAAAATTTAAAAATCACTTATACACACTTTTCTCTAGCGTGGTGGGAGGGAATCCGGTGCGGCGCTTGCGGCGAGATAGGTACGCCGTGTACACACTTTTCTCTTTTCTACAGTACAACCACTACTAATGAGCTATGTCTCAATGAAATACATAAATAATGCATTATAAATAATAATAATAATTTTTAACCATTAAGAATTTCAGAACATTAATGTTAACATGGATAAAATAGATTAAAATTTTATACTTATCATAAGAAATACATGACATTACTTACCATCTTAGTATCTCTTCTACATTTTGAAATAAATTATATGATAGCTATAAGCTTTTGCACTCTTTCAGCTTTCAAATTTAAGGTTGACTCTATATTCTCCACTTTTAGAATTGAAGTTGCTCTCTCAATCAAGGTTGGGTCCATATTCCTAACTTTTAGAATGGAGAGTATAGGCTTACATCGTTAGGTCTTTTGCCTTTACTTGTGCGGGCTTATCCCCTATATATGACTTAAATCACTTGCTTTTTTTGTAGAATCATCTATTGAATCAATGATCTATATCACTAGAATCAACTATAACAAACATATTGAAATAGATGGGCATACATGATATTACATGAAAGGCATGTTATCATAAATATAACAAATATTAATTCACAAATATATAAATTTTGAACCGATTGGGTATCTCACCTCGCTAGGAATGCATTCTCCTAGAGTCGGCTTTCTTTTCCTCTTGTACACCATCTCTACCACATTTCTCCTCATTCAACTCAAATTCTTTTCTTTCCTTCAAAATTTCGTCCCTACTTCTTTCCTTTTCTTTCTCTTTTCCTTACTAGTTTCAACCAACAACCACTGATTTCTGCAGCCTGATTTCAGCAACTTGACATTAAAAAAAATCTCTTATGACTTCCAAAAACTAGTATTAGCAAACCTTATCTTAGAAAATACTGATGTAAGTAACCCACAACAGCTCTCACCTGATTTTTGAAATTTTCTGCAGCAACCCTTACATGATTTCCTCCTTAAATCTGAATTCAATTCCCATCCTAGTAGCTACAGCACCCACATACGGCAGACCCACCTCCGTCTCCTTGCTTGCAAGATACTTCATTAGGAATTCCAGCTAGTGGAGAATGAAATGAGTAAATGGAAAGGCTTTTAGTTATTTGATTAATTAATATACTACCCATTCCACTATCTTTCCACTCAGCTTTATTCTCAGCCACATGATTCAGCCCCATGATTCCACTATACATTATAATATACATATTCTAAATTCCACTAAGTTCTTGCTCTATTGCTAACTCCTAGATGAATTAAGGGAAAGATCAACCAATGCATGCTAGCTTAAGTGGAATTTGAGAAATAAAATCTGAAATGCATTAATTGTGCATAAACCTAATACTTAGATTTACATTAAGGGGCTGTTTGGTTGCCTGTAAAGTAACGCAGTGTAAAGTAAATGCAGTGTAAAGTAAATGTAGTGTATTTCAAATATTTTGAGGTTGTTTGGTTGTCTGCAAAGTAAACACAGGAGAACTATTTCCCTTATTTGATTAGATATATCCAAAGTAAAATAAAATCAGTGCATTTGTGATTTTTTTTAATTATAACTAGTGTATTTTTTTTTGTCATTATAACACAGGCAAAATGATCACCCTGACAGACCTTTACTCCGTCCTCACAGCCATAGTGCCACTCTACGTCGCAATGATCCTCACTTACGGCTCTGTCCGGTGGTGGCGGATCTTTTCGCCGGAGCAGTGCTCCGGCATCAACCTCTTTGTAGCCATCTTCGCAGTTCCACTCCTCTCCTTCCACTTCATCTCCACCAAAGACCCCTACGCCATGAACTTCCGATTCGTCGCCGCCGATACTCTTCAAAAGGTGATCGTTCTCGCCGCACTCGCCGTTTGGGCTCGGCTCGCTACTCATGGCTGCCTCGATTGGTCCATCACGCTATTCTCCCTCTCTACGCTCCACTACACACTGGTCATGGGAATTCCCCTCCTCATCACTATATACGGACCATACTTTGGATCACTCATTGTCCAGATTATCGTTCTCCAGTGCATCATCTTGTATACTTCTTAGCTGTTTTAACAGTCCTTCAAAGAATGCGGCGATGGACTTTACTTTCAGCCGTCGCCGTCGGCGACGGCGGCGAGAGTGGTGTTGAGCTTTCTTGAGATTCATCTGAGCTTCGCCGCCAGTGGAATTGTCGTCTTCGAGGCGGTAATCGAGGCGAATGCAGCTGTGGTGATAGGGGCGATGAGAGGATGGTCGTCGCCTGTGAGAGCGGAGCCGGAGCCGGTGGTTTGGTTAATGTTGACTGGTTCGGTGGTGGTGGAATTACTGCCGCCAGGTTTGTAAATGGCTTCAAGCTCGCTGAAGAGTTTGTAATTGTTTCCTGGATGGGAATTCTCCAACTCCTCTGTAATTCCTCTGCTTCGCTTAGCGAAATGGTGCTCGGCTGACTGCTCTTTGCACCACTTGTTGTTGCTGTTAATGTAGTCTAAATCTAATGGCCGCTTGAAAAGAGTTATAATTATAAAATAAGAAAAAAGTAGAACTTTTGAATTTCGGATCTTTAACGATAGGTAGGTAGTATTTACCAAAATGGCTCCTTTATGGTGCAGTCTTCTCTATTCCATGAACGTAATTGGCTCTCTGAGGCATTTTCGCCGTGGAGAATGCTGCCGCTGCTGTCGTCGACGACGGAGAGTTTAAATTTCATGTCGGCAGGGAGAAAAGTTGTGATTATTGCTTGAAAGAGTTGGAAATGGTGGTGGTGGTGGTGAGGCTGCGGCGGCGGTGGCGTGAAGAGTTGTTGAGTGATGGGGGATATTCGATTGGTCTAGATTCTTATTGCCGACAAGTTCCCTGACACTGCGGCTTCGATCGTCTCGTTCTGGGTGGACTTAGATGTCATCTCTCTCGACGCCGGACGAGATTTTTTGCAGGCAGAAGCAGAGGTGGGAGGTGATGACAAGATCCATGTAACTGCAAGAAAGTCCACATCGTCTAGGCGATCCATCTCGCTGATGACGCCCTGGCCGTCGAATCTCACGGGTGCTGAGATATATTCGCTCAGCTCGTCGAGGAATCCAACCCCAAGGGGATCCAACTAGTGCCACTGTGATTTCTTTGCCATGTGCAGTGGAGCACCGCAACAGCCGCAAAGAATTCCTTACCCGCTCGATTTGAGCGGGTTTCAAAGTCACGCAAACTGTTTCCCCTAATACCCCACTATTGCTTCAGAGGTAGTTGTTTCGTTCTGCTCAAAATTAATCAAACAACTAAAATTAGTAAATGCATATAATTATTTTACTTTACACTCCTAATTCAGGCAACCAAACAGCCCCTAACTGTTATAATCCTAAACAGTTAATTACTAACAGTTAAATACATTAGCTATGCAATTCATACTTTACGTATACTTCTATATGTCAAAATGCTCGGATTTAAAGCAGAATTTAATGAAAATAAATAAATATTTAGAGGAAGTTTATACTTATATTTATTTCGAATACTTGAGTATTATAATCCACCCCTTCATATGTAAATTTTGTCCTCGAAATTCAGTGTCTTAGTGGTTTTCAAATAATATAGGAAACTTGAGTCTAATATCTTCTTCTTCTCTTATGTTGCCTCTTTTTCTGGTATGGATTTTCATTTCACTTTAACATAACAAATTTGACAATTTCTGAGCTGTTTAGTATCACAATCTAGTTTTCTTTTTGGTTCTTTAGTGTAAGTCAAATTCTCTTGTAGCTCAATTTTATCATGTGAAATTCTCTTATTGATATCTGTAACACATTCCTTAGCAGTGATACATGAAAAAACATTATGTATCTCACACATGTCAGTTGGAAGAGCAAGTCTATAAGAAACATTTCAAATCTTTTCAATAATTTCAAAAGATCCGATGTACCTAGGATTCAATTTGCCTCCCTGTCCAAATCTAGATGTACCTTTCACAGGCTTAACTTTTAAGAATACAAAGTCACCCACTTCAAACTATACAGCTCTGTGCTTGGGGTTATAATATTTTTGTTGTCGATCCTGAGCAGCTTTTAATCTGTCTCTGATTAATATGATTTTCTTTGTTGCTTCATCAACTAACCCTGGACCCATTAATTGTCTTTCTCCTATCTCAACCCAAGTTAAGGAAGTTCTACACTTTTTATAATAAAGGGCTTCATAGGGTGTCATTTGTATGTTTGTAGGCAAATTCTATTAATAGTATGTGATCTTCCCAACTATCTTTGAAATCCAAAACACATAATCTCAATAACTTTTCCAGTACTTTAATTGTTCTTTCAGATTGACCGTCAGTCTGAGGATGAAAAGCTGTATTAAAATGCAGATTTGTGCCTAAGCTTTCCCGAATGCCTTTCTACAGCCTAGAAGTAAATCTACCATCTTTATCTAAAACAATGACTTTTGGAAAATCGTGCAATCTGACAATTTCTTTTACATACAGGCGTGCCAATTTGTCTACTGAATCAGTTTGCTTGATAGGTAAAAAGCGAGCTAATTTTGTTAGTCTATCAATAATTACCCAAATGTTATCATATCCTTGTCATATAGAGATGTGGAAATGATTTATATAATAACTTTGCTTTTAATGATTTATATAATAGATTAGATTATAAGGATGAAAAAGATATATGTATAAATTAGCCAAACAAAGAGATAGGAGTAGTAAGGATTTAGTTCTAGTGAAGTGTATTAAGGATGAAAATTAAAAAATACTTTTCTTAGAATATGATATTCAACAAAGGTGGATGAGATATTTTGCTAAAATTTTTTATGAAGAAAGTGGAAATACAATTGACTTTAGTGATTTTATCACCCTAAATGAAAATAAAGATTTTTATTTTTATCGGCGTATAAGTAAAACTGAAGTTAGAGAGGCTTTGAAGAAAATGAAGTGTGGAAATGCTGTTTGACCTGATGATATTCCAATAGAGATGCGGAAATGCTTAGGAGATGAAGGCGTTTGATGTAATAAAAAAATATAGGGGGCCTATATTTTTTGATCACAAAAAAGAAAAATTAAACTTCTACCGACGAAAATGACTAAAGGGATGAAAAAGGACGAACAAACTCTTACATTTCAAATTAAAGAAATAAAAAGAAATTAAAAAAACACAAACTCGACTCGATCTTAAAGACACCCTAAAGTTGCTGCACTTGGAAGAAAGATACAGGTGGAGTGGCACTTGCGGAGAGACGAAAGAGGTTAGAAGCCCGAGAAGAAAGGTTGGAAAGATCTCGCAGGATTTCCGGAGGGGATGAGAAAGAAGGGTGGAAAGAGCCCGCAGGATTTCCAAATCAAACCCGCAGGTTATAGCTTATCCAAAAATAACATTTTCATAACTTCATATTTCAAACATAAACAATCCCCCATATATATAGGTATGAAAGGGAATACAAAGAGACACATTACATTAATTTTAACACAAGAAACAAAGCACCATAAGCTTAGAAATCCTGCCCCATGCTCACAGAAATCAACCCAAACCAGGAACCGAAGCAGCCATCGCAGGAAACAAGGAGGCCGCACGAAACCAAGGGGCCACGACCTCGGGAAAGAGCCCAGGCACAGGAAAACCAGCGGCCAGCCGGAATTCCAAGAGGCAAAGCACAAAAAACAATAAGCCATGGAGGAAACCAAGGAGTCACCTCATGGGAAAAGATATTTCTTGGAATTCCAAAGGCCGGTTTGGAATTCCAAGAGACAACAATAACTAAAACATAAAAAGCATAAAATTACATTAAATAAAAAGATAACTATGAGCTAAAATCATAGCTAATAATGAGCTAGCTTTTAGTTCCATTTAATGAATTAAAAACCAGCTCATAAATGAGCTAAAATTCCAGCTCAATTTTGATTGAGCTAGTAGACTCAAGTGAAGCCAAAATTCATATTATTTTGGACATGAGTTGACCCCCCCCCCCTTGTCTACATCAGAGTTTCTTGGCTTACTAAATTTTTTGATACTATTTTGAAGACTAAAAAGGTGTCAGATCAGTGGAAAATGAGCTTGTTAATTCATATTTTTAAGAATAAAGGTGATGCACAGGAGTGTGTGAATTATAGAGGAATTAAGTTAATGCGTTATACTTTAAAACTATGGGAGCGAGTTATGGAGCGTAGGTTGTGAAGTGATACTAATGTTTCTCAAAATCAATTTGGATTCATGCCGGGTAGGTCTACTATGAAAGCCATACATTTATTGAGAGGTATGATGGAAAAATATAGAGAAAATAAGGAGGATCTAGATATGATATTTATTGATTTAGAGAAAACATATGATAAAGTTTCAAGAGATGTGTTATGGAGAGTTCTTGAAAAGAAAGGAGTTAATAATGCTTATATTTAAATCATGAAAGATATGTATGCATGAGCTATTATTTGTGTTCAAACACAAGGTGGTTTGACTAAGTATTTTCCTATTTCTGTTGGATTACATCAAGGATTAGCCTTAAGTCCATATCTTTTTTCTTTATTCATGGATGTTCTCACTAGACATTTGCAAGAGGATGTACCTTGATGTATGCTTTTTGCTGATGATATTCTTCTTGTTGATAAGACTAAAGAGTGAGTTGAAGGTAAACTTGAATTATGGAGGTTAATCTTATAGTCTAAAGGTTTTCGCTTGAGTAGATCTAAAACTGAATATATGGAGTGTAATTTTAGTAGCAATAGACCTAGTGAGGGGATTATGACTTTGGGCGATCAAGTCATTAATAAGAGTACATGTTTTAGATATCTTGGTTCTATTGTACAAAGTGATGGTGAAATAGATGGAGATATTATCAGTAGAATTTAAGTTGGATGGTTGAAGTGGAGGAATGCATCGGGCTTTTTGTGCGATGGAAAAGTCCCCCTCGAACTTAAGGGAAAATTCAATAAGATGGTGGTGAGACTTGCAATGCTTTATGGTGTCGAATGATGGCCATTAAAAGATAAGCATAATACTAAGTTAAGTGTTCCAGAGATGAGGATGCTTAGGTGGATGAGTGGGTTGACCCTTAGAGGTAGGATACGAAATGAGCATATATGTGAAAAGGTTGGAGTAGCTCCAGTGGAAGATAAGATTAGAGAGAGCCGCCTTAGATGGTTTGGTCATATTAAACGGAGGCTTTCCGATGACCCAGTTAGGAAAGTTGATGTATTAGATTCGACTTATGCTAAGAAAGGTAGAGATAGAACTAAAAAGAGTTGGTTATAAAATATTAGAAATGATCATTCTTTATTAGATTTAAATGAGAATTTGACTTTTAACTGGACATAATGACGAAAAAGGATTTATGTAGTCAACCCCACATAGTGGGACAAAGGCTTGATGTTATTGTTGTTGTTGTTGTATCATGTCCTTATTTGGATCTTGGAAATCCCATAACAAAATCCATTGTAATTTCTTTCCGCTTTTACTCAAGGATAGACTGTGATTGCAATAATCCACTAGGTCGCTGATGTTCAGCTTTCACAATTTGACATGCTTCACACTTAGCTACATATTCTACAACATCTTTCGTTATACCTGGCCACCAGAATATTACTTTCAAGTCTTTATACATCTTTGTACTGTCTGGATGAATTGTGTAGCCATAATGATGAACTTCTTGCAAAATTTTCCTTCTTAAATCCAGATCACTTGGTACCCACAACTGTATTAAATGTCTAATGACTCAATCAACATCAACAGAGAGATTGGGTCTTTTTCCTGATTGGGCTTGCTCCCATGATTTATAATATTCATTACTGAGTTGTTGAGCTTCATTGATACGCTCTATTAAAGTGGGCTTTACTGTCATTTGATGCAAATATTCTATATTTTTGAAATCTCTAATTTCCAATTGCAAATTTTCCATTTCTTTGATCAACTGAATCTCTTGAATAATCATCCAGTTCATCATTTCTGTATATTTACAACTCAAAGCATCAACCACAATATTGGCTTTTCCTGGACAATATTGGATATCTAAATCATAATCTTTAATGTGTTCCAACCA